CATGCAGGTCGATGGCAAGAGTTATGGCTTCACCTTTCTCAGGGACAAGGACCGAATATCCAAACTCAAAGACAAAGTCCAGCAACGTGAGTAATTATCTATTGGCCGGTTGATGTCACTAAACGCGCATATAGTCATCTTCGACAAAAAACTAAGTCGCATTACCAAGCCCAAGTTTGGTTTCAGTCGACACGAAATCAAAATTCTGCTTACGACTATTCTCGACGCCTCAAACCATTCTTCCACCCAGCGTATGTTTGCCTTTCAGTCAATATTCGCCATCACAGTCGCGTTTTGTGGAGCACTACGGCCCTCTAGTCTTGCTGCAGCAAATGCTCTGGCCATAGAGCAGGACCAGGTAAATATCCTTATTTGTGATGGATCTCTCTCATTCTTTGCCTAGTATCTGCATATAGGCGACTGTCAGCTATTCGTTCATGGTCCACTCGACTGGGAGATCCGAATTCATGTCACCAACTTCAAGGTAATTCATTGAAAAGAATATGGCAGTTGAGACTAATTCGTCGTAGGGATCTTTCGGAATCACTGCCAGCGAACAGTACCACAGATACCGTTCACTGAAAATGGGACACAACCTTCTTTTCGACCCAACCGTCTGGGCCGTTCTCAATTGGTTCTCTCGCGGCGTCTTCCTAAAAAAATACAAGGCAAGTTGTATACATAGGCCGAGTACTCAGGCTTACTATCCTAGGATTTCGCCGAGTTTTGCAATGACAACAGCGCGGAAATTCAATTCGATCCCAACAAAAAGTCGGAGCCCGCGTATGTATTTCTGTTCGCTGGGTTGTCTCGAGCTCATATTCTCCCCCAGCCTTCTGGCAGGATTGCCAGGCCAGAATGGCAAATTTTCTGACAAACCTATGACATCGTCTAATTTGACAGAAATCTTTGCTGCTTGGTGCGAGAAAGCGCTTCTGCCGCGTTGCGGTTTTGGTGCGATGCGTCGATTCAAAGCAGATATGGTTGGGTATATGCACTTTCTATTGTTTTGTTTACTCATTGTTTTGCAGTGGGGCATGCAGCTGGGGTTTGAACTCGCCCAAGTGCTCATGAACCATGCCAGGGGTGGTGTATATCACAATGCCTATACGAAAAAAAATGAAAACTACGACCTTCCAGCCCTTGCGATGGGCGAGATTGCAGGGAGTTTGGAAAAGGCTCCAGGAGAAGTAATCAAGGTTTTATGCTTTCTTTTTCCACAATAAACTTGGTGCCTGATCAATGAAAAGCGAATGGAAGATCAGCAAATGTTCATTGGAGTTGCCGTAGAATGCCTTGTTCGTACCACCCAAGACACGGACAAAGGGAAGACAAAGGCTGAGCGAGCTGAAGTCGTAGAGGTATGTCTCTTCATCGGCTTATATTCTTTGTTTAACATCTGTCCTTAGGACCACCCGGATATAATTGCTCACAACCAGCTTGTTGATAACGCGTTTACCGAACTATTGGAATGCCTCACCCCTTTGACGTCTATACCTTCAAAACTTGCAACACGCTCCGTCAACGCCCTTATGAACAAAGTCCTCAATGAACCTGAAGATTCCGACTGTCCAAGGATTGTCCCTGGTAAAGAAATTAGGTGTCATGTCATTCACGCACGACTCCTTGATCTGTTTCGTCGAGGCTATCGGATCAAGGCCAACATAAACAGACTCATCAAGGACGGCGAAGCCCAAGAGATTACGCATGCCATCAAATATGGCTCTTGTACGGGAACAGTCGAGGACCGGCACGAGGCAATCAAGCAGTCACACGCACTGGATTGTCGTGTTTTCGAAGTGGGGGTTAAATCTCTGAGTACGCTTGTCATAACACTTGTTTCTTGGACTCAATGCGCTTTTTTCTAGCTGGATCGTCAGTCCTGTTCCCCGGAAATTTAGATAGCATTGGAGCCTGGAGCGCAGCCATCGAAGAGAGAATACTTGAAGAGGAACGGGAACTACAGGAAGCGGAAGATTACATAGAAGAAGAACGAGAACACATGGTTTCATCCCAAAACCTCGTGAACCTGACGGGTGCCGCCATCAACCTCGAGAAAATCCCTCAAAACGAATGCTCGGAGGAACCTCGCCTCGAGCAAGCTGAAGTCACTGAAGAAGACGTGCTGAATCTTCCTATCGCCGAGCTGCGGTGGGCATTCATGAGCCACCTCTTGAAGCCCGTAGTCGAGATGGAAGAGGTGGAGGAAAACACAGTAAACTATCGACACATTTCACTCAAAACATACTAACAGTCATCCGGCAGGTCAAATCCAATGGAAAATTGATGTTCCAATGCCCGGACTGCAAGTTCCGTGGTCCGTCAATTTCACATTTAAAACGACACAGGTCGGTCCTAGTACTACTCCTACGCCTCTGAAACCAATGCTTTCAAGGGCGCGCTTACATACCCCATGGGCAATCCTCCTGAAATCGTTCCAGGGGCTCAAGGTGTGCGTCTGCCCGGAAGGCGACCACACCGTCCAGAAACCATGCAGGATGGTGAAGCACTTGCTCACCAAATGCAAGGAAAGGGACAAATATATAGAAATGCATCGCGCAGCAGAGGTGGAAAGGGATCACTTCCGAAAGGGCGAGGTTGGATACAAAAAACCAGAAAAAAAATACAAAATCACAGAGGTATCTTCCCGGATATATCCATGTATGTCGTTGCTCACGCGTTCTCAGAAAAAAGGGAAGCGGGCCAAACGCATGCGTGAAGAAGATGCGGCCGAAGATTCTGAAAGCGACGACCACGATAAAGAATCCGAAAAGGAACAGGGACGAGAAATTACAGAGGTATCTTCGCAAAGATATTCATGTCCATCGTTGCTCACTTGTTCTAAGAATAAAGGAAAGAAGCCGACCAAGCGCATGCGCAAGGAAGATTTAGCCACAGATTCCGAAAGCAGCGACCACGACTCATGGCATGAGGATTCTACGCTGGATATTGTCGAACCGTTTACTCGAGTTTTGCGCAAAAGAAACCCTGCTCCTGCTCCGGCTGAGGATGAAGAAGGCTTATTGGTGGAAAGTATCACTGTACGATGCACCTTGTTTGCGTCGTGTATCTCTCACTCAAATGCTCTAGAAACAAACTCTCAAGCAAAAGTTGAATACCAAGAAACCCCTGCCGACGTTGCTCAATCTCCTGCGGTCTGTCTGTGATGAAGTAGAGTATTCTGGGCTTTATTCGACTGCTCTCAATGACGACACGCCTGACCTTGATGCTTTGGGACTTCTCTCCTTGGAGGACTGCATGTCTTGAGGCTTTTTCGCTATGCTTGATACTCTGGTGTGCTATCTGTACTACGTTGTAATTCTAGACCTTGAAATACATGACCAATGGCTGATCCCACGTGAGCGCATATATCGAGCCCCTTGACTCCGTCCCACCATGGCTGAAAAGCTGCTCGAGAAAGCCTACAACACGGTCATCTCATTGGAGCCTATCACGCCAACTGCAAGCCCGAGCAAAAGGGAACCGTACCTCGCCCGAGTGAACAATTATGCAAAATGGATCAGCATGATGCAATCTCATGTCACAGAGGTGTTGACCGCATCCCGAGTTGACGACGAGTCCACCAGTGAATCGGCCGGAGAGGACCTAGTTTCTAAACCTCAGAAGAAAGCGACTATTGTGAGCACTGGTTGAGCTGTACTGCATTTTAACCCATTGCCCTTTAGACGGCCCGTGTTGCTTCCAGGGTTGCAGATATCTTGGCTACATTGGACGCAGATCCCGAGGCTCTCGAGCTCAAGGAATGGATAAACTTGATTCTTTATCCCAGCAGGATGACACTTTATACGGCCGAGCAGAAGGGCTGTGTGCGTCTCCTTCGTGGGTACAGGGCCACGGGAGACTGGGTTGAGACGGTATGTGGCACTGTGTTAATACAGTTATACCTGACCTATCTCTGCAGAACAAAATACTTGCAAGTCTTTGCCGTGACGACAGGGCTGATGAACGCATCTTCGAACGCAGCATCGAGATCGAGAAAAACAAAGACCCGCTTGAACGCCTCCATGCACGGGAAGCCATGGAATTCAACATCGACACGACAAGTGCTCTTTCAAATTTTGCTCATTCTGTCCTGCGTACTATACAGTCGATTCGCTTTGCGTTCGAATGGGCTACTTTGGGTAACGATGCCAAGACGAAGTTTCGCGCTAATGCATTCGAGAAATTCAACCCAAAATTCATCGCGAGTAACTACACGCGCGGCCAGTATAGAAAAGAGTTTAGCGCGTTCAAGAATCGCCACCAACGGGTCATCAAATCGAGGAACGAAATCAAGAGTTTATTTCTGGCTGTGAGTAATTGCTGTAATGCAATGCAGTACTCAACGCCCCAGTAGTTTCACGCTGCCGTATTTATGGACATTTCATGGACGCCGACAGCCCATCATGCGTCCGCTAAAATAGGCCGTAGCCCTACATTCCCGGCGACCATGAATCACCTTCTTGACGAAATGACGCCATTGGATCCAGAGGTTGTCGACGAGACCGAGGCGGCCTTCAAAGAAATTGCTACCATTGCCCTGGGCGATGAATTCACGGATTACATTGACAAATTTCTTGCTGATTACCGCCCCGTTTTTCCTGTGATTGATTAGACGAGACTCACTGTACAAGTACTACATGAGGGCACGCAAAATCGGATCGTGCCATCGCAAGTCGCTGAAACTTTGGTAGTCCTTGCATACGCCACTTCGCATTGAAATGGGCCCCGGCGGTCGGTGCCATTGTCGAGCATGACAGAAAGGCCTTCGACACCGTAAAGAATGTGTGCAACGGGTAAAAAAAACTCGCACATTGTGCGAATCTTTTCCCAGTAGGTTTTCCCGCCAGTAATTTTCGATAACGATGTGCTTGGTTTGTGTTTAGTTACAGTGAGCAATGAAAACTCGCACTTTGTGCGAATCTTTGCCGAGTAGAAAATTGAAATATTAGTAGGCACTGGGCAGGCGCAGCCGCGCACCATGCTTGGCCAAGCAAAAAGGGCCTCACCGAGAATTGAACTCGGGACCTCTTCCATTCAACGTGCTTAAATGCAACAAATAAGCTGCGCCCAAAGGAAGAATCATGCTACTAGACCATAAGGCCAACACATATTTGAGTCTCCCGTTGAGCTGAAGCGCAATTTCGAAGACGGCTATACTCGTAATACCCGACTTCAACTCGTCCATAATTTAATTTCTATACCCAAAGCTGTATTATTTATAACGAGTGATGAATGTTGGAGGAATGAATGCCAATTTCCAGTCGCTTTGGGTTCTGGGCAATAAACACCAGTTTAAAAAGTACCGCAGAGATATTTAAACGGCGGAGACTAGCCAATTCAATTGCTGGACCCCCAGGACTCGGACTTGTCGAGCCTCAAAACACGAGTCCCACTGATAACGATCTTTGTGTTATATACAACGTGCTATTCATGTACTCTTGTTGTATATCTATAAATAGTAGATCACCTAAACTGTGCGGTACTTGAGGCAAACGCGAAGTTGTAACTTGGTGCGTGACCTCAGCTGCTGAGTGGGCTACTTATATCACCGGGTGCAGGACCACATATTTTCAACAGATTATGTGATTAATACCRAGTGAAATATTTCGAATATATAACGCATAAGTTCACATCAAATATGAGGCAATTTATTTGGTACCGAGCCCTTTCATTGGCCAGCAACCAGATATCTATCCAAGTAGTAGGGACAAAGATATGTGTAATATATTTTAAATATTTCATCAAAGAAAAAGCAAGTATTTCTGTCACATATATTTGGTTGCGCATGCTGTGTATAGAGGACCGGAAGCTTTCAATTATTGATTTTTTTCTTTACAAGCAAAGCATTTTTACAGTCATTATACTCTGTGAAATGTCAGACTAACAATCAAGAATACAGCTTTCTTGGTTTTTTTATACCGTGCGCACTCGCCAGCAGTTGAAACCAAGTTGAAACAGTCCCTAATGGAATCATATATTGGCCTTCTTCAATTTGACTCGAAATGCGCGATTGGCGCGACCATACTTTAGAATGGAAGGGTAGGATACAAGTCATATAGAATAACCAGGAAGCTATCACAGGGGCGGAATTAATCCAATGCATTCAACGCATCCTTGAGCTGAAGGACAAGTTGGATTGCCCTGCTCTGAATCGCCACAAATTCCCTAGTCCCTGGGCCAAACCAATTGGTGAACTCTGGTTGATTCCGTAAGGCATAGTCGATTTTCCTATAATCAATATTGAAGTCTGCGTAAGCACTTGCTATCTGAGAGAGAGGTAACAACGCGGTCTTCGCACCATAGGATGTCTTTGACATTTTGGGAGTGCAACTCCCTCCGCGACAATACACGGCACCTGATCGCAGCGAGGGTTTTCAAGACTCCCCAAACGTTTGAGTGGGGGTCTGCCGATCCTTCCATAAGCTTGAAGGCAGCATGAGCGCTGTCGGCCAAGCGGATCATATCGTCTACCTGGCCGTCGTCCAGCTGCGTGGCGGCGGTGGGGATGTGCGGCCACGCATGGGCCGGTGATGGTACTGCGGCGACGGGATTCATACACGTGTAGAAGTGGGAAAGGACACGCAATGAGCAAGGTTGTAAGGCGACGATGTCGATCCTTTCATACTATTTATGTCTTACCATCGTGCCGCACTTCAGATACGTCGCGCTTTGCTAGAATCGCGGCTACAGTCAATATTTGCCCAAATATGGTATCAGCCACTGCGAGGACTTACAACGTGTAGAGAACAATGCCATAGCATTGACGCAATTTGATATTGAGTTGAAGTGGGACCTAGTGGGACTCGTAATCTTAGAGTTCCTTTCTTGGTCAAACAGCCAGATAAGAAGACGCTTGGATATTGAATGGCGAACCGATACCGCGAGGCCTTGAACACGTTCATTGCCAGTCTGTGACTGTGTGAGCGAAAAGATCTCCATAAGTCTCTTCTACTTTTATAGCAGTCGTTCACCGCTCGTCTGTTTTTCCAGTTTGGGTAATAGGCAGGGCATTATCAGGTTCAGATGTGGAAGCATCCTCGGGGTGAAGGCGTGTATACCCACTAGCATTGATACGTCCCATCAAATTGTAATCCGTTGTATCATAGGCGCTTTCTACTCTGGAGCGCAGGGCACTCAATCCAGGTTAGCGCGAGCAAGTCGGCCGGCCTACGCATACCTGGTCAATAGCTGGAGCTCGTTGTCGAGAGGCCCTCTCCGCGCAATAACGTTAACCAAAAAATACATGTTCTTGGACCTTGCACGACGTGACACCAATGACCCCTGGGAGAGATACTTGCGCTCCGTGCAATATTCGAGGCGCAAGAAAAGGACCGAAAGCGCACCTAGAAGCCCCTAAGAAGTCACACGTGCTACACGCGCCAACATACACACTCCAGAACTGTGTCCCTACAGGAAAGTCCACGTAAATATAGTCGCCGTCGCCAAGATGTACATCAAGTTCCATGGACACTCCTGGGGCGCCGGTGAAGAGGAGCGGCCTCTGACCGGCAGCTTGTGTATCTGCAAGTGCACGGCAACAGAGCTGGGCGCATTGTCCACCACGACGTTCGCAAGGGACCCTTGCGCCTCGAGCTCGCGGCGTAATTTACATGGCGCGTAGTGGTTGTTCAAGGTCGAAATATCGTTGTCGCCTCAATTGTATCCTGGAAATCTGGTGCTGCATCCACGCCGCGGGCAACGTCTGAGGCCACGGTTGTCGCCGTTGTCTACCACTTCTTTCCGCTTAACGACATGCCTATTTTGTCATGTGGTTAGAGATCAGCGAGCGAAGGAAAAATAACGACACGGTGTCTTAAAGGCATTGCACACCGGGAGACTTGTAGTGCGACCTGTATGAACGGAGATCAGTTCCCACAAAATTTCCGGTCCTTCAGAACGCGCGAGCTTTCGTCCATATGGCTTCCAGACATCCGATCTAATGCTTTCCTGACAGCCAAAGGCACAGCGACGAAAGGCGCGATTACAGATCTGCTTTTTGAAAAATGCAGGTGAACTGTCAATCGATCTTGAATGTATCCAGGACTGGTGCAGAACAATGTGAATATGAAAGAAATGAACAATACAAATGATTCTACGAAAAGAGCTTGTTGACGGAAGTATTCCCGTCTTGGTTCTTCTTCAAAACCTATTAACAGTTACATCAGGATAATTCGAGGAGAACGTATGTTTGGGATGTTACCTTAGCCACCGCGAACTCGAAGTCTTCTTGCGTGACGTGTTGTCGGCGTTCACGGAGCGCGTACATGCCTGGGCAGAAGTGTGAGCATCGACGACGTATAGTAACAATATGGAGACGGAAAACGTACCAGCTTCTGTGCAAATACCTCGCACTTCAGCACCAGAACATTGGCCCATCTTCTCGGCGAGGGCGCGCAGGTTGATACCTCTCTGGAGGGACATCTAAAAACATGAAAAATCAGCTGACAATTTATTACCGAAGACCGATATAACTTACCTTGCGAGAGTGAATCCGAAGAATGGAGACGCGGGCTTCGGGCCCAGGGGGAGGGAACTCAATCTTACGATCTATCCGGCCTGGGCGCAGAAGTGCAGAGTCAAGGATATCTATGAATGCGTATCGATTCAGTTCCTGTCAAGAAGCCACGCAAACGATAAACAATGCTCACCGATACGATTCGTGGCCATGATAACTTTGATGTTCTTCGTGGGCTCGAATCCGTCCAGCTGGTTAAGGAGTTCCAGCATCGTACGCTGCACCTCGGAGTCACCTCCGCCGCTGCCGCTCTCGCCACGGGAACTTCCAATGGAATCGATTTCATCCATGAAAATGATACTCGGCGCGTGTTCTCGGGCCATCACGAAGAGCTCGCGCACCATTCTGCTTCCCTCTCCGATGTATTTCTGCACCAGCTCGCTTCCACTGACACGGATAAACTTGCAGTCAGTGTGATGTGCCACGGCACGCGCCAACAGCGTCTTTCCTGTTCCAGGGGGACCGTACAGCAGAACACCCTTGGGCTGGGCGATACCAAGAGCCTCGAACAGTTCGGGGTGCTTAACAGGTAGCTCGATGACCTCCTTGATCTCTTTGATTTGCTTGTCGAGACCGCCGACCATCTCATAGGTGCTGTCAGGGACTTTCTCCACCATCATGAGCGAAACGAGAGGGTCGACTTTATTCGGCAAGACTTTATGCAGAGTATATGAATCGGAACGGAGGGCCACGCGCAGTGTGGGTTTGAGAGAATTGATGTCAATCTCGGAGTCGATATCGACGACTAGAAATGCAGAGATATGAGAGCGTATTTTAATTCAATCTGAATGCTAGACGGACTGTATTTTCCCTCTGGCTGGACCTTGACCAAGACCTTGGTCTTCCCCATGACTTTGATAACCTCGCCGACGTAACTACCGGGTTCGTGGAGCAGCTGCAGCTCCTCCCGCAGCAAACGCACTGTAAATTAAATCTTGAGAACCGATATCAGGTAATTACGGTTGGTACTGACCTCGGGCGTTCAAGGCATTCCGTTGGGCTTCAAGACGTCGCAGATTTTGGGTCTTCTGGTTGATTAGATTTTCGGCAGCTTCGATCTTTGCTTGGTAGTACGACTTGATGCCACCTGGCGCTATGGGCAATGTTGTGGAGACGGGCATTATGATGAAGAGAGGAGGTGGTGGTCACTTGCAGAACGAGGAGCGTACGCGTCCATCACGTTACGCAACTTTGTTTGGCAGATCAAGGAACGGCAAACAGACGGACTGGTCTCTTCGGCCGTTGTCAACACTGTTACTCAGCGTTCAACTTTTACCTGTGCTTCCTTTCCTTGTTCTTTCATCATCTTTTCTTGTGCGACCCTAGCAATTGAGGAACCTTATACATTTTCACAGATATTTAATTGAAATTCGATGCGTTTGTGCCCACTACGCCGACCACGTTTATGACAAGTCCCGAAGACTCTAGACTTTCAGCTATTTTATATGGCGTGCCCATTTTCCGGACGTCATCATGTGTTTCAGGATCTGGACATTCATATAAATAGTCCTATCGTGTTGTGGTCCACCCATCGCATACGAAATGCCCCAGACCGACTCCACAAACGACACTCACGACGAAAAGCCA